TGTGAATAGATTTGCAACATATTGTGTGTTTTATGCAGTGTTTCTGTTTAACCTTTATCTTCTTTATGTATCTGAAAATAAACTAAAGAAAAACTGAAGAAAGAAAAACTTTCTATTCTACATCAGAGGTTCCAGAAGGACAGAGATGGTCCTCTGCAACCTCTTAATAACTTTGACTAAAACTAATAACTAATTTTTTTAAATAAAGATATGACAACAAATGCAAATTGTAACAATTTTTCAGTTTTCAATCCACCCACCCCTCCAGAGATTTTTTTCTTCACTTCTTTCCACAAATATCAACATTCCATTGAGGAAAATGTATCTATCCTATTTTTTTAATATCTTTTTTTACCTTTTTTTTTTTTTTACTTTAAAAGCTAGAAGTAGTCATAAAGTGATTCTTTAAAGATGACAGGACATTACCCACTCGTAGGTATTTCTCAGAAATGATCCGTTTTCCTGTTCTAAAAAAGCTAAACAAGCTTTATTTGGCTGAAGGGCACAAATGGCTCTTTGGATTGTAAAGGTTGCAGACTCCTGGACTACATGATAAAATTTCAGACAAAACTCCAACAAGAAGCAGAATCTAATTTTGCGTTAATGCTTTGCACAAACAGTTAGAGTGTCTTGCAGATGATCATCATCACCTTAATAATCCTGTCCAGAAACAAACTCCTCACAGATTGATCTTCCTAAACGGTGGGAATCCTCACGTTGGCTCAGCAGAAGTCCAGAAACCAGATCCCAGGCCCAGGTGAAACTGCCAGAACCCGTCGCAGCCGCAGACTGTTGGTACCAACAGAGGTGTAAACAAAGCCCGAAGCTCCCTGGGTTTCTGCTGGGGACCAGGCGCAAATAATGCTGACACATGCTTTTGTTTTAAAAGCTCCTGAAAGGTCTAGCATGGGGTGAATGACATTCCCACAATATGTGTCTGCTGGAGTGATTTTGGTGTGTTGTTGTGATGGTGAGGGGTGACGGAACAAAGCGACTTCCACTTATGTAGCTTTGAGTTTCTGAGTCTTTTACAATTAAATCTTTAAAGTTCAATCAAAACACCTTTATCAGTTTGACCGACACAGTAATAGACCACCAGCCCTGCCTGTTGTGACCCACTAAGTGAAGCTGATGCTCTTTACACCAAAATAAACAAGATTGGAGTTTAAAATTCACACTTCCAGGGACCCCAAAGAAGATGAAGATCACTTTAAAAGATTACAGCAAGCCTCTTTAAAGGGGAGATTTAAAGAAATGAGCAATGATTTAAGATGCTTATGTTGTAAAAATAACTCTTTTTCTGAAGATTTAATGATAGAAAAAGAACATAACAGCAACAACAACTAAAAAACAAACAATCAATCTCCTCAACTCTCATTATTCAGTTTACGCAGAGCTGTGCTGGAAACTGTATAAATAGAAATGTAGCCATTTATTTTTAGAATCTGCACACAGCCAGTAATGAGAGCTCATCTTGATAAGAATTTTGCTGATTACGGTGTTTTGTTTTTCACCAAGCATGGCGGCTCTCTGCCGTAGCTTGAGGGGGAGGAGGACTGATGTCAGATAATGTAATGAATGTGTACAGACAGAAAGCATCATTAGCTGGGTCTATTTGTGTGTGAATCCTAGTGGAAAATGGTCCCATTATCCCAGATGTCTCTCCTGAGGGCCCAGGGGCCAAAAAAAAAAAAAAAAAAAGAAAAAAACAGCAAATAGTGGTTACACTTTAACTTTTTCAGACCTGCATTGCACACTTTTGCTGGTTGTGCTTTTGCAGGTACTTCACATTAATGCAGATATTTTATTGCTGTTTGCCAAAATGTCCTCAGCAGTCTGACAATGCTAAAAATGTATTGCCAGTTTTTGAGATTTTTTGCTGAATGTTATTGTTCTGATTGACCCTCAAACATAACAAATTGAGTTATGTTACATTGTGCACTAATACTATATTATTATTATGTTTCTATTAGCTGATGATCCAAGCTTGTAGTTCAACACCCTAACTATATCGACCTGATCCTTCAAGATTACTTTCATGAGAATAATTTACACCTCTGTAGCTTTGGCGTAAAGTCAAAAGATGAAATTTGTAATTTTCTGCTTAAGCCTTTTTAGTCACTGGACAGCTACTGTTCATCAGGTCGCTATAGCAACAGCTGAGATCCCACCTCATTGGTTAATGCCAAACAAATTTGCCCCAGTTTAACCCAGTGTTGGTGTTGCCATCGAATGAGCTGAACCGTGGTTCTTTACTGGCTGTTGAGGCCCATTGCATCCCTGGAACCCTTTCTATTATTGATGCTACAGTTTTATGATTGTAATTTTTTTTTAATGTGAAGCGATATGTGACTTGTGATAAATAAATAAATAAATAAATAAATAAATAAATAAATAAATAAATAAATAAATAAACTATGTTAATGTCTTTCTGCTATGAGTCAATACCAAACAACAACCCCAACTAATAGTCTGTCCTCTTATTTGAAATAAATTAAACTAATTATTTTAATTTCAGCTGCAAAGCTTTATTGAAAAAAATGCTGCTGGTCAATGTCTATTGTTTTTTGGCAATTAATTTATTTATTTATGTTTTTTATGACTTTACCACATATTTACCTTCTAAAGCAAATAGGATGATTTAACCCAGTTTGTTTTAATTAAAACAGGGAAACAAGATTACTTTCATGAGAGCATGTTTCCATATTTATTACAAATTCTCATCTGCAATAAATGAGAATTTGCAATCATCCAGTCATAGCAAAGTACAGTGAAAAATGTCTGAAGTGTGTGGGAGCAGTGGGACATTCCAGCCTTTTTGTTCTCACTCTAATTCATCATTCCTTTATTGTGTGTGTGCTTTCATAATATAATTAGAATCAGAGTAGCAATCTTTAGCCATAGTTGTTACTATTAATGTATTAATAAGTAATAAAAACATCAAGTATCTAACAAGTTCTTTTTATTAACCCTCAGTGGATGTTTTTCTGATCTGTACCAGTTCATTTGGTTAGAATTGATAACAATAGTTTTCCACAGGTAGCAACATGAAAAAACTGTGACTGTAAAATAGCTGGGATTTTTTTTAATTGCATCGCCTTAGCAACAAGGATCCAACAACTTCACTCTTATTTTATTAGAGAGAATTTGTGAGGAAACAGCATCATGGAGAAAGTGATCATGGGAGAGTAACAAGAAGAAAACCATTGTGGAAAGACAAACAACATTTAACTTTTTGGACGCTTTTGGGTTCTAGCTAGTTTGAACATATCTGATAACATGTCTGGCTTCCAAGGATTCCAGGTTTTGCAGAGTATAAGACTATGTCATATGGAGGGGATCTCCAGGCCAGACCTACAACATGATAGATGGACTATAAGCCACTTCTGTATGAGCGTGGCTTCAACCGGTTCTTCCCCAGTCAGCCTCGGCCAGATTCATCTCTATATGCAGATCCAAATACATTTGTAGTCCCTCCCTGTTTTTTAGGAGCCACATCATCTGTTTTTGGTGGTACAAGCTGGTTATTGCAGACAAGTAATTTGATTGGCAGCAGACTGCATTCATTGACTGGCCTGTTGATTTACATGACTGGATGAGTGAAGGTCGTACTTGCAAACTCCTTGAACAACAACAACTTAAGTATTTCCAATCTATGAAGAGACCATATTAGTAGATATCAAAGATAGCAGTATGCAGATTGATGATTGGATGGCCAATGTTGAGGTTCAAACCTTTTTAGAAATTATGGCATTAGAGTGTATGGTATTAGCTGAGTGGACCAACCCACAACAAACGAATATACTGAGAAACTTTGGAGAAAATGGCCGCCAAAAGGTGTGAGAATGAGAGAGGGAGAAACAGAGGTAAAAAGACTAATTAACAAAAAAGGAAGAAGACAAAACACCCCAAAGATTCAAAAACCACTGGAGTACAGAACATAAGTAATGAATAAGAAACTCAGCACAAAGGAATGAACTTGAATGTCAAAACTGAAATGACAAGAATGAACAACTGAATGTGGCAAGAGCTATTAAACAATAGTAAGCAAGGAAATCATCAGAGAACCAACATGGAAAAATCCCAAAACCCAAAAACTTATGGATCACAACACATCCTGGTCAAGGAAACTGAAACCTCAACAAAAACAACACATTATAGTGTAAGACGTAAAATAAAGACACATTTCATACACAATCCACAAAGGAAGGTGTTTGTCTGAAAAACTGTTTTGTCTCATATATTAAATCCACAAGAACTCTAGGCAATAAACAGCTAGAAACCAGAGACAGAACTCATGGCTTTAAAGATGGCAGAGCAGGATTCAGACACAGCATCATTCTCTTCCTCAGGATCATAACTGCAGTTTGCACTGATTTAATTTGTTTACAAAAGGTATAAAATTTAACCAGCCCAGGTTAAAACAGAAAAAACTAGGAATGATTCAAATGAACAGCTATGATTACACTACAAGCTCACAATAAAAATAGATATCGTCACTTGTGGCAGGGAGACAGGAAGCAGGCGGTCAGTAGCAGAGGGGTGTGTTTTCATTCGCCTGTCGGGCTCTGTGAGTTTGACGGAGGAGGGCACAACACAGACCTGCTGATAACATTAGGACCATCTCTGTCCTTCTGGCATTTATTGATGGGACCTCTAGAACTCAGATGTTGCAATCAACTCTGAGAGCAGAAGGATGTTTTAGAAATAAGTTAACTTGGATATTTTGGGATCGGTCCGCAGACAACAACACTGGATTAACATTAGGGGATATTCTCGGATATGATTTTTTTTTTTTTTTTTTTTTTTTTTTTTTAGCAATATCTGGAAATCTTTGATCATGTGTTCAGCAATGCTTCCACATATCTACACAATCAATAAAAGCTTGATGTGACTGAAAATTCTCAATCTTGGAATAATGTCATCTAACTTTGGGCTTTTTTCTTCATTTTGAATCAATATGTCACATTCAACTGGACAAACTAGCACAGAATCTTCCGTCAGCTTCACTTCTGGCTTCATGGACCAGCCAACCGTCCAGAGTTTCGTGAAGCCTCGGGTGATGGGCTTTGTCCTGACCATCTCTGCTCTCCTCATTGTCTCCACCAATCTGCTGGTGGGCACTGCTCTGCTGAAGCTGCTCCTGAAGCGAGGATGTCAGAGCTGGTGTTTTGTCCTGAACTTGGCTCTGGCTGACACTCTGGTGGGCGTAGCCATCACTGGACTGGCCACAGAAGACTTTAACAACAAATTTATTCAGCAGCGCAATGGTTATATTGTGATTTATCCTCCCACAAACGGGACACCTCCTGCTCTACAGGGCAAGACCCGATGTTTGCTGCGAATGTCCTTTCTGACGTCCCCCTGCATGGCGTCCATCTTGACTATGTTCCTGATTTCACTGGACCGCTATATGGCCATCAAGATGCCCCTGCGTTACTCTCTGATGTCTGGGAAATGGAAGACAACCGGGTCTTTACTGGCTGTGTGGATCAGTTCCTTCACAATGGGATTTTTACCAGGTGAGGCTCAGCAATCAATACTTTAAATACTAGAGAACACAGATGGAGGGATTTCTGTTACATCAAGTCAAGTCAAGTTTATTTGTAAAAGTTAGCTCAAAGTCTTTTACATCATAAGCACAACACCATTTAGAACAATTAATAAACATTACAAATATAATCAAAATTATCAATAAATTAAATACACATCAAATATTTTGATCTAAGTCCCAGTTACTACTATTCAAAGACAGCTCTAAAACAGGGAGGATGGAGGACTTTAGTTTTGTTTCTTCAAATGTACAGATAGATGTTTGCATCTTCGTTGTTGTGAAAAAGTACTCACATTAACATTTTATTTTATAAAAGTCCACCACAAAAGTGGATAAGTATAATCTTCTTTTCTAATTAAAATATGCATCGTCCTGGGTGTATCTGTATTCAGATGAGTGCATTGTCTTCACTGCTCTTACAGCTGCAGACTTTTTGGGGAATATCCACCAGCTTTGCACATCTAAAGACAGAATCTTCTGAATATAACACAGATTTTTAGTTGGATTTGAACTATAATTGAAAGAGGAATCTTTTAGCATTTTCCCTGAATGCATTCTGAATAGACAGTAGCATGATATAAAGAGTTTGAGAACTGAGAGCTGCTAGAGTACAGTTCTTATACTGCTTTAAAATAAAATAAAAAGTTCATGAAAATAGCCATTTTACAGTTAAAATAATGGAAAGATATTAGCAGCAAAATTATGTTACTTCTGAAAGCAATGATTCCATTGCATTTTGCATTAAGATATATTAGACTAAAGGGGACTGAATACAAATGCACAGGTCAATTTTCCAGTTTCTTTTACAAATTTTAAAAACAAGTAATTTTTCTTTGTCTTTGTAACTATGCACTACTGTGTTGTTAAAATATAATCCTTTCAAATGTTCAAATGAAATACTTTGAGGTTTGTAAAGTGGAAAATTAGGTTAAAGCTTTTGGAGTGTGAATACTTTCAGAAGGCTTGTGTCTGTTGTGGAGCTACGTCCTTTTAAATCATAAAGTTGCACTGTTTCACTGCTACACAGTGACTCTAGATTAACCAGCAACTAATCACTGATGATGCCATGTTCAACAGGTTGTAGACATTTCAAAATAGATTAACTAAGGGTGTGCTGTGATGGCACAGGGGTTACGCACAACCCACATATGGAGCCCTTAGTCCTGGACGCAGCTGTTGCAGGTTCGATTCCTGGCTTTGGCGACCTTTGCTGCATGTCTTCCTCCTTCTCTTATTACCCACTTTCCTGTCAATTAACAATTAAATAAAGGCCACTAGAGCCCCCCAAAAAAGATTCACTAATAACATAAGTACAATATTAAAGCATTTTATTAAAAGTTTAGTTCTTTTCTTCCACACAATGGCAACCAATTTGAAATAATTTCTATCTGAACAGAACAATACACCCAAAGCTGTTTTTTCTAACCCAAGGTGTTCTAAAGCCGGCCAACTGGGTGAAAACCCACCCAATCTGGCAACATTGCTTACTTTGTTGACTACATATTTAGTTGAAGATAACCTTTTTTTGTTTAGCAACAAAAAAGGAAGAGCCTTGATTCCATTGTGACTTTTTGCATTAGTTTTGTTTTGTGGTTCTGTCATAAATGGAGCATAAATATTGTCAATGTCCTCTGCTCCTCAGTGATGGTACCCCAGCTGCAGGCGACGGCACCCTATGACGGTTTCTGTGCTTTCTTTAACGTCACCCACGACATCGCCATCATCGTTCTGTACTGCCTGCTCTTCTTCCCCGTCCTCTCCCTGTTCATCTACATGTACCTGGACATCCTGAAGATCGCCTGCATCCACCACAAGCAGATCTCCCAAATCAGGCAAACTAGCTCGAGAGCTGAGGAAAGCAGTCACGGACAGTCCCAGTACCACCATCATCACCAGCATCAACTGCTGCGGAGCTGGAGTCATGTCAAGGCCTTGAGGACGGTGGGGGTGCTCATCGGCTGCTTCTTGGTGCTTTGGAGTCCTTTCTTTGTGGTGTGCATTGTGCACCTTCTATGTAGGGAGTGTGCCCTTAAGGAGGTGCTGGAGAACTACCTGTGGCTCCTGGGGCTCTTCAACTCTCTGATAAACCCTCTGGTCTATGCCTGCTGGCAGAGAGAGGTGCGGCTGCAGCTGTCAGACATGTTTTCCTGCATCACAAACAGGTTGCTGTCTGCTGCGCCGCCGAGTGTTATGGAAAGATGCCACTCATCGCCGCCTGCGCAGCCTCATGCTTGTGTTTCTGAAGGAGATACGCCCAGTCCTTCCATTATGCTACCAATCAGCAGCTTGGACGCCAATGCTGTTCACCTGTCTGACACAACCAGTTTGTGATGGAGAGAGGGAAACACTACAGATATTTAAAACGCACTAATTAAGTGACCAACTCTTTGGTTAGTATTCCAATGGAGCTTCTCGACGAGAAAGTGAAAAATAGATCTGATTAGCTGTTGTGTGTAACCTGTACATGTGTGTTTTCTCTAACAGACATCAGCAGGTGTCACAGTTTTAATGAACCTCAGGTTGGCAAGCGGACATTTTTAAGGCAGAAGCACAAGCAGTGAAACTGGAAGACATGGATCTGATTTTGGGCTGAACAGGAAAACCCTAACATGATCACCTCAACGGTTTGTCTGGATGTTCAAGGGCCAAAGGAAATTATTATACACCACCATTCCTTTAGGATTAGTGGTATATATGTGGTAGATGTGCTAAAATGTTTTTATTGGGACAGTGGCAGCTGCTTTTTAAATAAATTAAAATTGTCTCAAAGTATGTTTGATAATTTGTGCAAACAGAACAGTGTGCAAAATGCTCTATTTAGTGTCAAGCTGACAATTCTAAGGCTATAAATGTTTCAACATTTGATATTTTAAACAATAAAATTTTGTGATTAGTCCAAGTTGAAAAGTTCAGACAACCACAGCCCGAACTCTCATTCTATACACAAAATCCAACCTGAAGGTAAGATGTTACACCAACGACCTAAAATTAACTATACTTAATCTCACCCTACCCTATCCAGAGAGTTTACTCCCTTCAGACTCTAGATGCTTGAAAGAGAAAGTGAAACCCAAGACGTCTTTTTCTATCTGGTTAATTCAAATTCAGTTCAGTTTGTCTAAAAGATTCTTTATTGATCCCCAAGGGAAATTAAATTTTCTTGTAACTCATACTACACAATTTTTTTCAAAGAGCAATTTTGGATGCTGGTGTGGATGTGGGCAGAATGGATCTCCTGTAGCAGTCTGTATTACAGCAGCTATAAAGAAGCCTCTGACCTTCTGTTGTTGTATGACAGTTTCATGGTGAGGTTGGTTGGAGTTTGTCTATAATTTTCTTGATTTTATTTGAAATCCTTCTTTACACCTTCATCTCCAGGGGGTTTAAAGGAGTCCCCAGAACAGAACCAGTCTTCTTCATCAGGTTCTTGAGTCTTTTTAGGTCCCTTCAATTCAACAAAAAATTACCTGAGCGCTTGGGGTCACAGGAATTTCATTCTCAGAGGGTTAGTTTACACTTTAATATAACAAATAAAAAGATGTGGTTGACATGACAGAAAAGTAATGCTTTCAGTTCTTATGCAGTTGAAAAATGGGAATTTGTTAAACAGTTAAGATCAGTAATGGTAGTTAGTGAAAGAATGAGGAACACTAGAGGAAATGCATGTCTGCATTATCAGCAAATGATTAATCATTTGAGGATACAAAACATAGTATAAAAGTGTAACAACCAGAGCGCCAAGGACTCACCCTTGTGGAACACCACTGAGGATTATTAGTTTCTATTGATTCATGATAACAACAATTGCCTCTAAAAAACTCAGTCCTGATGAATCACAAAGACCACATGAGAATTAAAACTTTCACTTAAATTTAATCTTTAGCCTGTTAATCACTTCTTTTTTATTGTGCAATGGTGTGGAAAATTGATGACCAAGTAGATTTGTATTATTTTCTCCCATAACAGCAAACACCTTCTTTTAAAAAAAGGATTTTGTTTTTACTTATGTTGTCTCCGGCAAATATTTAAATTGGTTTAATGTTCTGAAACACAAACATGCAATTTTTCACACCACCATAAATACTTAGTTATTTTGGACTTAGAAGTGGAATATTTTAATCTAATTTTATTACCTTCAAAACTGAATTCAAAACCCTCATCTCCTTTTATGGACAAATTATTTTGGACTGCTCAAGCAATAAGTTGACTTTTACACTTCTCATGTTTGGAAGAAGACTAATAAGAGCCACTCTTTATGGAACATGAGTGGTCAGAGGTCAGTGGTAGTAGAGGGCAGGAAGTATTGTGAACGGCTGTGACAGGCGAGCGGGGTAATTCCCTAGGGGCCTCAGACCCGTCCCACTGAGGAACTCCTGATTTTCCCTTTGTGCACACTAACTCTTAGCCTCATATCCCAAACTCTCCCTACATTCAACTTAAGGAAATTCCATAAAAGAGTGGGTGTGGAAACAAGGATCATGAAAGAATAAAAACTCTGAACAAGATTTAGAATAAACATTTTCTGAGGAATTCACATCGCTTGTGTATCTTCTTTAATTAACTTTTGCTTAATCTGAAAACCTGGTAATGGGAAATCTAAGTGAATTTACACTAAAATTACACCATCCTTGAAAAGAAGCATGTTATGCTATATGAATTATGTAGTGGGGAATAAGCAGATTCCCTTAATGAAAGCAACATCTTCCTTAGATTAGTCTGATTTTGCACTCTTTTTGAAGTCCAACTGTTAACTGTTCTTGGAGAAATTCATGTTGGAAACATTAAATACACTTTCACCAAACTACTAAAATAAAGTAATAATATTGTTTTGCATAGAGAATGAATGTTTTGATATTTTATGTGTGTTCCTCACGTCGGACAAAGAACTACAATAAGTTTTTATTAAGACTGTAGCTAAACTGTAAAAGTGAACCCAAAGAGCAACCAGAACAGTTCAAAAATCAAAATAAACAGTCAGACACATGAATTTTGCCAGGATTTTATATGTTAATTCAACACAAAATAGCTTATAGATGTTAATTTGAAGATAACTGACACATGGCTTACAAATTTTTGATATAAAATATGAAAGTCCGACTTGCATTCGGTGTAGAACTACCGTGTCAAGGAGGTTGAATTAAAGCAGGATGTACTTTTCATATTTTTTCATATTTCGGAAATAACGTATTGTTTTCCTTTCATTTAACAACTGTGCACACACAAAGTCACACAAATTGTTGTTGCAATTTGGTTAATTTAGAAAAGGTTCAAAAGGGTATGAAGACTATACACATTACCAAGTACCTTTATAATGAACCAGCTTCTTAGACTTGCTTTTATTCATGTTTACTAGCTTTTCTTTAAAAAGCAGTGGTTGAAGGACTTGCCAACAAATATTGTTCTATAGCTTCCACAGCTACCTCAATAATATTACCAAATATCAGGCTGTTTTAAACAAAAGCAAAAGCTGTATCTTTCCATTTTTCTATAATTAGCATGGTCTTTGTTTCTCAGTGTGTGATGGGCTGAGAGAACTGAAGCAGAGCTGATCACAAACATCAGCCTGGGACCCACTTTGTGTCATCCCGCTTTATTACGTCTGTGTAATCTAAACTGATCGCTATCAGAGAGAAAACAGGCCAGTTTATCTGGCAGGCTGCAGTTGAGCGTGTAATATTTTCCACCTGGATAACCGTTCGCTCATGGAAACTTCCTCAGCTGCTTGAACCACAATAATTATCCCGCACTTCACCTGCCAGCAGTCTGGATCAACAAAACACTTTAACTGGTTGATGTCATGGATTTCTACAACCGGCTGGCTGATATTTACCCAGGACTAATACGCTGTGGGACCGATCAGTTCTGCAGGATTGAATATGGTATTTTTTATTTGTTGATACAATTTTATGAAATATAAAAGCCCTCTCAGTGTAAGACATATTTAAATGGGACAATGTGTGCAGTTGAAAGCAGATGTAAACATTCACCAAGCAAAAACACATTTTCTTTTCTCATTGTTTGAAGTCAAATCAGACCAAACTTCTCCTGTTTTTGGTCAGTTAGAATTACCAAAATGATTTCTACTTCCTAAATGCCACAATAATGAGCGAAAAAAGATGCTGCAGCTTCATGAATTAATATCTTCAAAATCAGAAGTTTTCATGCATTTTCTCAGTATTTGGTAGCATTGCCTTTGTTCTGCATAGCTCACGTCAAATGTTTTGAGTTTCCTTCAAGCTTCTAACAATAGCTTGCCTGAGTTCTGATCCATTCGACTGGGTCAATCTCTATAGAACTGAGATCAGGGGTTTGTGATGGCTGAAGCATTGACTCTGTTGTCTTTAAGCCACTTTGCAACCACTTTGGCTGTATGCTTAGGTTAATTGTCCATTTGGACTCATTTGGACATGAGCCTTAACTTCCTGGTGGATGTCCTGTGATGTTGCTTCAATAATTCTACATAATGTTCTTTCCACAGGATGCCATCTGTTTCATGAAGTGCACCAGATCATCCTGCCATAAACGTCTATCGATTTACACATTTCAGACCAAAATATGTTCATTTCTGGGAGAGAGAACCTGTCTCCTCCTGACTGGATGGATATTCCCATCTTGTCTGTACTCGCATATAATTTTTTGTACAGATGAATGCGGCACCTTTGAGCATCTAGAAATTGTTTCCAAGGATGAACCAGACTGGTGCAGCTCCACAATTCGCTTTCTGCAAACTGCTTCCCTTAAACAGCCATTGCAGTTTAAAACTTTAAATACATTTAGTTTGGATTGGCCCATCTCCTGCATCTGCTGTTGCATCATTTTCTGTATTTCCTGACTTTACTATTATTAATATAAGTACTTCTAATATAACTGCATGATCTCACTAAAAATTGCTAGACAACTACAGTAATTTTAGACAGTAAAAAAAAACAGTATCATAGTTTTGCTATGTTACAGAAATAATGAACTTACTATTGTGTTGCTATATCTCATGTTTTCGGTTCTATGTTTTCTGTCAAAATAATAAATTATATATTCTAAAGAAACTGATCTTAAAACTTGCAAAACATTTTTAAAAATGAAATTAAGTTTAATTCATACATAATTTTCATTTCATTTCTCTTAGAAAATGCCTGCTGGAAGTAGACGCCAGCATAAGGAGTGAAAATAGTCTCAAAATATCTGTGCGTGTGTAAAAAGATTTGTGCGTAAGAGTTGGATGAACGTGTTAAAGAATTATCATTATTTTCCCACCAGGTGGCGCCACAGTTTCCTCTCTTTACATCCTTCATCCTTCAGTTTCTCTCATCACGGTGCAGTTGCATCTCAAAAGACAAAACATTTAATTAGCCAGAATATAATTCAGAAGTTAATTTATTTTATTATCTAAATTCAAGTGATAGTCACTAAGTGATGCACTTCACACCATTTTTTTAATACAGACAGACAGAGTTAGAGCGAAATACATAAAACTTTTAGACACTGTTTAGCCAGTTTTCTTTAAAGTTATGTTTTTTGATGATTAGCAGAACCCAAAAGCAAGCAAAAGGTAGGCAGTGTCGCAGTGAAAATTAATTTTAATCAGAAATATAAGGAGACAAAACTCATGAAACTGGAGGGAAAACAAGAGTAGTTTAGAAAGATGTGAGGAAAGAAAGGTGTATGGTAACAACACACTGTCTGCTTTTCCACTGACCATAAAATTGCACAGTTTGACATTTTGAAAATAAATTTGTCTAATGGGAACACAGCAATTTTGAAAAACTTGATTTTTGATTTTTTTTAAAAAAAGTTTTGCCACTAAGGTGAGGTAATCCTTTTGGCTGTATCAAAATTGGTTG